CTCTTCTCCTTGAAAAGCAAAAGAAAAACTCCTTCATTGGTACGCAATCTCCCCTCACATGCCCACCCCTACCCCCACCCCAAGTATACTCCATTCTGCAACCCTCATTCCAGACTCTTATGATAATCATAATGCCCTAAAATATATTACTTTTAAACTATTCTCTCCCTATAAAATTAATATTTTTAAAAAAGACATAAAAAAAATCAAGAGACATGCTGCATTGAGAAAAATCTGCTGTCAGGAACTTCTTTAAGGTGCTAAAGAGCAAGGATTACTGTTAAAGACTAGGGTGTACCCGATCAAAGCGACAGTATTTTCAGTTGCCTCTTATGTATATGATTGTTGGACAGTGAATAAGAAAGACCAAAGAGGAATCGATGAATTGTGGCATTAGAGAACAATATTAAATATATCATGGATTGTGAAAAAGAACAGATAAATTTGTTTTAGATGAAGTACAACCACAGTGCTCCTTAAAGGCAAGGATAGTGAAAGAATGGAAGGGAACAGTCCTTCTGCACAAAAGAGGAGGGCCCTCAACAAAATGGATTGACACTAACAGTGGGCTTGAAAATGTCAGAGATCAGGCGAATGGTCCAGGACAGGCAAGGTTCAGATGTGTTGTTCTTAGGGTTGCTATGAGTCATAGTCGACAGCACCAAACAGCAGCAACTATTCTACAACACATAAAGTTACCACAAGCTAGAATCCACTAGATAGGCACAGGCTTGGGTTTGCTTTAGTTTAGGGAGCCAGAAAAAGGTATCTGAGCTGAGAAGCGATACTGTTGGAGTTGTACTTTGGGATGTCTGACTGGCAGTGGGCTGAGCGCGTGGGGGTTGACCTGGAATAGTGTTTGTGAGGAGGCCTCAACTACTCTGTCTCTACCTTTATATTTCTCCTCAACAGACTGACTTCAATGAGCTGGACTTGGAAACTCTGGCTCCCTACATCCCCATGGATGGGGAAGACTTCCAGCTAAGCCCCATCTGCCCGGAAGAGCAGCTTCTGCCAGAGAACTCCCAGTCCAACTCGCAGCACTGCTTCAGCACCATGACAAGCATCTTCCAGCCCCTGGCCCCGATGACCTCACACAGCCCCTTCCTGCTGGACAAGTACCAGCAGCAGCAGCTGGAAGGCAAGAAGACGGAGCCTGAGCACCAGCCCATGTCCTCTATCTTCTTTGGTGGTGGGAGCAAAGCATCTCTGCCACCGTGCTGTGGCCAGGCCAGCACCCCTCTCTCCTCTATGGGGGGCAGATCCAATACACAATGGCCCCCTGACCCACCATTACACTTTGGACCCACAAAGTGGCCCTCTGGAGATCAACACACAGAATCTGTGGGAACATCATCGATGGGGCCCTCTGTCACCTCACCCCATCTCTCCATGTTCAAGAAGAGGTAAGTGTCTATACCCACAGGGACTGTGCTAAACATGGAGGGGACAGACACACCCCCAGGCTGTGATGCCTGGGGACCCTTCTCTCCCATCCCACAGCGATCAGTTAGCCCTTCTCTCTGCATTCCAGCTTAGGGACATCACTCCAAAGTCTATGAGGTCTAGAACAGCACCAGCTTTGTCAGAACCAAGAGATAAGACACAGGAAAAGGGAAGAAGCTTATTGGTGGGCCTTCAACACTCATGTCCCCACTCGGATGACCGTTTCCCCATCAAAGTTCATGAACTGAACCACAGACATAAAAAAATTACATAATTATTCCCCCAGTTGTCTCATGGCATCCTTGATGAGAAAAGTAGAAAGAAAGTCCTTCAGTTCCCCGGCAATGCCCACCCCGGTTCCCTAACACAGCAGCATCTCTGGGCAGTACCGATTATCATTAGGAGAACAAAGGACGTGGGAACCTTTCTGAGCAGGAAAGAGTGAAATCAACTCACCTGGGAGCCCCAGTGTAGCCAAAACGGAAGACTGCGTGGTCATCCTGGATGGGCAGGGGTGAATGATGAGGGCAAACTGAGGAAAGGGCCAGAAGTACAGCTCAAACCCACCACTCCTCCTCTGATATGCTGCCCTTTAGTCTTAGATGTGTCACAGGCATCAGTATCAGGAACAGAGGAAGCCAGGGGGTCATGTGGTCTCCAGGCTCCATCATGACCCACTTTCTTGGATTGGCAGGTCTGCCAAGGGGTTCAGGCTTCGGGGTCCAGATGTGATGAGCCCTGCCATGCTAGCCCTGTCCAATAAGCTGAAGCTGAAGCGGCAGCTGGAATATGAGGAGCAAGCTTTTCGAGACATGAACATGGTGAGCCACCCGTGACTATCCTGCTGTGGTAGACCAGGCCAGAGCTGCTGAGGGCAGAGAGCCAGGCCTGTGGAGGTCCTGCGCTGGCTCCAAGAACCTGCCTGGGGCAGCAGAGAGGGCACAGCAGGGCCCTTTCAAAGGATGGGGCAGCTAGCCCTGCCCAGCCTAGGGGCTTGGTTCTGTGGCCCTATTTCCTCTGTAACGCCCCTTCCCACATCCAGGGGGACCCACCTGACAGCAGCACTTCGCATGTGATGTGGAAACGGATGAAGAGTGCCAGGGATGGCGGGACTTGCTCCTTCATGTCAGGCAAACCGCTGAGTGCAAACGTCCCCAGTGGTGAGCATCAGGGGGTAGACCTGGGGGTACAGGAGGGAGGGATGGTGTGCAGGGTCCCTTCATTCTCCTGCCTTCTGCCCTCTGAGCCTTGCTCCTCCTTTATCAGAAAGGGACTGCCTTGTCTGATCTCCTTTCTGCCTGTCTGTCCCCTGTCGGAACTCTCTGGGCTCAAAGGAGACTGGGGCGGGGTGTGGGAGTAGGGGGGATGATGATGCTGGCTCTAGTCCTGATGGCAACAGAGGGCTTTGGAGGAAAGGGGGGTGCTGGGGACTTCCCATTCTCTCCCTACCCTCAGACTGGACCACACTGGTGGTATTCTCACACTCCGGTTTCTGTCTTACAGATGAGTTTGCCCAAAACCCCATGAGGGGCATGAGTCAGCCCTTGAGACACCTGCCTCCATCACAGCCACAGTCAGCCCTGAGCCCTGGGAATAACACCAAAAGTGGGTTTCCCCCACAGTGTTATGCCTCTCCATATCAGGACTACAGCCTGCCACCGGCTCAAAAGGTGTCAGGTGAGTGTGCACAGGAAGTCTGAGGGGCTCCCAGAGTCTTAGTGCTGTATGCCTACTGTCCTGCGAGCATACCTAGGACATCAGCCCACATTTATGACGGTCACAGAGGGCCTGCTGCTTGAAGGGTGGCCTGATGAGCCCTTGGCTGGGGAACTACCCTGACTTCCGCCCTGTCCATCTTTATCTCTTATTGTCTTCCTAAACACAGACACCTTCACAGGAAAATTTCAATTTGATACAAACATCATTCCTAATTTTGAAAAAAAAAATGTTCTAGACTGCTGGCTTGAATGTATGGATTTCATCATCAACATAGTTCAAGGCAAATCACAGTCCAGTGATTAAGAATCTAGGCTCTCAAGCCAGCAGGAAACTGCAGGTTTAAATCCCAGCTCTGCTGTTTCCTAAGGAGAGGGCTCAGGTACTCAGGGCGCATACCTGGGAGGTTTGCCTGTGAAGTGTTGAGTTGGTTGTACCAACTGTACTCATGAATGGCAGCCCGTTGGATTATTCTTGTCAGGAGTACTGAGTGTGTCTCCTTAAACCATGGAAAGTCATGTTCTTTTCAGAGCAAGTGGTTTCTGTTCAAGAGTAAAAGGGGGTTAACTGAGAAAAGGATATGGGGAGAGGCCAGTTTGGCTAAGGGACTGGGTCAGGACAGACGTGGCACTGAAGATGAGGCCTGCACATGAAGCCCAGGGAGAGGAAAGGAGAGCGGTCCCTCAACACGGAGGAGCGGAAACAAAGAGCTTTCGGGCTGCCCCCCTCCTCCCCTACTCCTCCCGTAGAAAGGCTTGATGGGTCAGGGTCCACAGGCTGAGACCGTCCTCCCTTCCTGGGAAGTGGCCCATTTGGTGGCTGAGAGTTTGCCTTTTGTTCCTTTCGGTGTCCTCCTTTTGATTTGAAAGCACCAGGGATCAGGAGGCTGATCAACAGTCGTGTGTGTGTGTGTGTGTGTGTGTGTGTGTGTGTGTGT